TTTCATTTTTTTCTAGAGTTACCTGTGGACATGTCTCAGCATCTCTAGTCAGTAGAGGCTTTTATTCAGACATAGTTTAAATTCAGTTATAGTTTGAGTTTGATCGTACAATTATCATTAAACATAGTTGTATATATTCAGACTTAGAATAGGTATTCCTCATTATTTCATTTTATTATATGTTTCTAGCTTTTGCACAGTATGACTATTATTTTGAAAATGTTTAAGTATGATTATGATATGCTAGCAGGGTTAGCTTAGGGTCACTCGTGATCCTAGGTCCCATTTTTACGCGCTAGTGGTAGCCTCGGGAGGTTACAGTGAAGTGGTGGCATATGCATCTCGACAACTTAATTTTCATGAGAAGCATTATTCGACACATCACTTAGAATTGGCTGCAATCATATTTGCACTTAAGATTTGGCATTGTTATCTTTATGGTGAGCCATGTAAAATCTATACTAATCACAAAAGTTTGAAATACATATTCAAGCAAAGATATCTAAATTTGAGGCAATGATGCTGGTTGGAGCTACTTAAAGATTATGATCTTGCTATAGTGTATAATCCTAGAAAGGCAAATGTTGTGTATAATCCTAGAAAGGCAAATGTGGTGGTACATGCCTTGAGTAGGAAGTCTATGGGTAGCTTTGCCTGGATTGATTCCGAAAGGTGCCATATGGCTATGAATATTCAGGCTTTATCCAATTAGACAGTTCGAATTGATCATACATTGCCTGGCAGACTGGTTTCAGGTATGGTGGCGCAATCATCATTAGTTGGAGAAGCCTAAACTTGCCAATATTATGATCCCCAACTTTCTAAACTACGAGATCAAATACAGAATGGGGGTGTAAAGTCATTCACTATTGATGGGAAGGGACTTCTACATCAACATGGTATATTGTGTATTTCGGTGCTGGTGATATGAAACAACTTATACTTGTAGAGGGGTATAGTTCGTGATACACCATCCACTCAGGTTCTATGAAGATGTATCATGACTTGCATGGATTGTACTGGTGGAAAGGAATGAAAGCTGATATTTTGAAAGATGTACCTAGATGCTTAAATTTTCAACAAGTCGAACATAAACATCAAAAACTAGGTGTTGTTATGCAAAACTTGATTATCCCAAATTTGAAGTGGGAAAGGATTACTATGGATTTTTATGTTGAGTGCCGAATACTTTTAGAAACGTGACTTAGTTTTACTGATTGTGGAAATACTCACAAAATCTTCCCATTTCCTACTAGTTTTAGTTACACATACCGTGAAGCAGTTAACTGACATTTACCTTCAAGAGATAGTTCGAATTTATGGGGTGCCTATTTCTATAATATCATATCGAGCTGTGCAATTCACTGCTGAGTTTTGGAAGTCTTTTAAGAAGTCATTGGGTTCACAAGTTGAGTTGAGTACAACTTTTTATCCCCAAACTGACAAACAATGTGAATGGCTTATTCAGATCATGAAGAACGTGCTTAGAGCTTTGCAATTGATTTTGGTCGTCATTGAAATGATAAGTTGCCTTTGGCAGAGTTAGCTTATAATAATAGCTTTCAATCGAGTATAGATATGGCGCCATATGAGGCTCCATATGTTTGCTATTGTCGATCACTAATCTGATGGTTTGAACATGGTGATGTGCAATTGTTAGGTCCAACTTTTGTTAAGCAAGCTTTAGAAAAAGTTGCATTGATATTGTAACACCTCGGAATTTGGAAAAGAAAGAAAATGACTTCCGAGCTGCAGTCTAGTTGTATGGGTCCCATCTATGGACCATAGAAGTTACCACGGGCCGTAGATGGCAACCGTAGTAAGAGGGAAAGTAAAATTTTAAAATCAAGTCCGAGCACCTTTTCTTTGGTTCAGCAGTACGGCCCATCATCGCATGTACGAACCATAGATAGGTCTCATTGGAACGTCCCAAACATAGTGATATTTTAATGAGTATAATGGGTTTCTACGGTCCGTAAGAGACCTACGACTCTTAGACAAGATCCATCAAATATAGTCCAAAACAAAGGTTTCTATGCTTTTTTACATTTTACCAGTACGGTCCGTAGAAAGTATGTCCAAACCGTAGAGAGGGTTCGATAGTTATTTTCAAGGGCTTCTGGGTATTTTCCCTAATTATTTTAAATCAAAACCATGTCATTTTGTCTTCTACCTTGATCCCTATATAAGGTTTTTAGGACATAAAACTACTCATTTCAACCTTATTCTCCTGTTTCCCTAAATCTAACCACATTCATCCTCCCCGAATTCTCTCAACTAATGGTAGAAGAAGAAGAGTTAGGATTCCATTCAAGTCTTCAATTCACCATCATTCTTGGGCTTTGAACAGCAAGGTATATGGGTATTCACCCGTGGAAACCATTCTTCCATGGGATTCTCAGGGTTTCAAATTCATCAATTGAATTTGAATTGACTAAGTTAGGGTTTCAATTCAATCTTTGTGTGTTTCATTGAATTTTGATTGATCATTGTTCATTAAGTCATCAAATGCATGAGTTAATTTTAATAAATGATATTTAATTTAAATTACATTGGCCCATGCCTAAATCAAGTTTTTCAACTACGAATCTATGATGAATCCATAAGGTATGAATTATGAAGATATGCATCTTTTTATGAGATGATTATAAATTATATGGGGATGCTTTGAAAGAAAAGTATCAATGTTATTGTATAAGGATTTATCACTTACTATGATGATCATGATTTTGAAATGTATTTGTCACATCTAAATTCACATTGGTGAAAGGTTTTCTCATCCATGATTGAATTATGTTTAAGTGGATATTTTATGTTTTGATCTTAAAAGTATATGGATTGGTATTGATTATTGTCTTTCCTATGTTATATTGATAATTCACTTTTATCTATTATTTAGGAATTTAGACTTAACACCTTGAGATCTTTCAGGTGGAGGCTCAAATAGGGTAGTTTCTCCTCACAACCTCTAGTCCCAAACTACATGTCACCCATAGGATTGTCTTAAATAACCTAGCTAGTGGTTCAACTTTAGCAAATGATGATATTTATGGATTCTGCATTGGCAAGTAGATTTTCCTTCGATACGCATGAGGGATGTACCAGATTAAATAATATAGCTGTCATGGTATTATTGTCGGTTAAAGCTAACATCCCACAAAATGAATTTGTTTCTTCAAAGTTTTCTTTTGTGCTTTATGTTAAGGGATTTGACCATATTTCATGATTCACATGTCATTTCTTCCTTAAGTCTTTAAGTAATAAAAGAATGATCATGCATACATGTTTTAAGCCATTCATGCTATTATATTTATCTTTATTCATATTTTCCCATACTTAGTACAATCCGTGTAGTAATGCATACTTGTTCCTGCATTGTTTCACTAATACAAGGTACGACGCTCCTACCTTTTATACTCGTGGCTAGTTGATTCCATTTACTTTGAAAATTGGTGAGTCCTCATGTTCCAAGGACAGAGATACATTCTTTAGCTTTATGTCATTTCAATTTTCAGACTTTGTATGATATGTATGGGTTACATCCAAATCATTTTTTTATGATGTATTAGATGGTTTATTGAGACTTATGTTAGACTTCCACATTTGTCAAACTCTTTTAAAATGTGAAATGATATCATTTGAACTCTTTACTTTTAATATCTCGTATGATGTATGCTAAGTGGATTATGTAGGGCCTCTCGGGATTCTACATACCATGTAATGCCTAGGGTATACCTTAGGCTGTGAAAAACTTTGTATTCAGGTCACAAAGTTTAGAAAGGCGTAGGAAGTCTCATAGGACACATCGAGTAGAGTTTTGTTCATGAGTGTGAAGTGTGCCCTATTTATTTATGAGAGGCTATAAGATATTTAGGAAATTCTATTTTTTTCATCATTCTAAATTCGTGCGATAGTGTGTAACCTATATGTCTCTCACCTAATCTGTATCTGCTGATTTTCTAAATATGGCTCTTTGAAGAGAGTGAGAAGGAATGTGAATGAAAATGTGGAAAAAGAAGTTCCTCAAGAGGATCCAAAAGTTCTGACCGACCCTTTGGCTGAACAAGTGACTAATTCAGAGTTTTTAGCAGTTTTTCAAGTTTTGTCTCAAGGCATGACAACTCAAGCCAACAGGAATGATGTGGTCCCCATGAACTCAAATTTTAGTACGACGACAACTAGATTGAGGAACTTCACTAAGATGAATCTCCCGGATTTTCATGGGTCCAAGGTTCAGGATGATCCTCAATAGTTAATTGATGAGGTGTATAAGATTTTGATGATCTTGGGAGTGACATCGGTGGAAAATTAGTCATTTATCAACTTAAGGGTGTTTCACAACATTAGTTCAACCAATAAAAGGAAATGAAGGCGACTGATGTTGGTCATCCTTATTAGGAAAAGCTTAAGGTTGGTTTCGTTGATAGGTTTTTTTCCCTTGAAATGAGGGAGGAAAAGGTACTTGAATGCACCAACCTTTTTCAAGGAAATATGAGTGTGAAGGAGTATGCATTCAAGTTTACATTATTTTCTAGATATGCTACTACTATGGGTTCCAACTCTAGGGCAATATTTAACAGATTGAGCATCAGTTTTTATATCTAAATAATTACAAAAATTCAAATAAATAAAGATAACTCTTAAATTGAAAAGAAAAACCTATAGTTGGCTAGATTTTACATATTGGGTTGCCTCATAAGAAGCGCTTGATTTAACGTCGTGGCACGAAGCAGGCCCCTTGATTACTCAGACTTCATAAAGATGCCATGCCTCTATCACTGCATTTACATTCTCAAATTTCCCATGTAGCTTTTTATCCTCCGTTGGTCAGCTTTGAATGTTGTCCCACTCCTTTTCTCGAGCTCAACCACTCCATGTGGGGACACTTGGGTCACTCTGAATGGTCAAGTCCATTGGGACTTGGATCTGCCTGGAAAATAGCACAACCTTGATTTATTAAACAACACCAGATCACCAGGAACTAGTTTGCGCTTTTTTGTCTATTGAGCATGGTGCTTCTTCTCCATGTGCAATGTTGCACATAACTTCCCCTTACTAAACACTTCAGCACTTCTTCCGAAAGTGTGACTCACCACCAATACCGATGTAAGATCACTTTCCTGCTTTATAGACTTACAAATGTTAAAGGTCACCTCTTCCTTATTCAGTCGGAATTTCATCTGCCCTCTCTCCATATCAACTAAGGCATGCCTAATAGCAATGAATGGTCTCCCTAAGATGATGGGGACCTCAAAGTCAACCTCGCAATCAAGTATAACAAAGTCTTCCGAAAAAATGAACGGCCCCACTTTCACAAGGACATCTTGAAGATCTCCAATGGACTTTTTCATAGTTCTATCAGCCATAAGTAAATGCATCAAAAAAAAATTTGGAGCTCCTAAACCAACCTCTTATAAATTGACAATGGCATCAAGTTAATGCTGGCACCCAAATCACACAAAGCTTTCGCAAAGTTCACCTTACCGATGGTGCATGAAATAGTGAAAGCTCCAGGATCCTCTTTCTTGTGTACACGTGACCTCGTAGAAATGGCCCTACAATGCTGCAACCTCTCGTCATTCTTAAAATTGATAGCCCTCGTTTTGGTCACCAAGTCCTTCATGAACTTTGCATACCCAGGCATTTGCTTCAATGCTTCTATCAAAGGGACATTGATGGAAAGCTATTTCAACATAGTTATGAACTTGCGGTACTTTCCTTCTTCAGCCTTCTGCACTAACCTCTGTGGGAAAGGAGGCGGAGGTCTAGGCATCGGAACAAGCTTTTGGGCTATCTCTGCTTCTTTCTCTGTGGTATTTTTAGTCTCTTTGGTAACCTCAATCTTATCACCATCTATTTCTACCACTCTTTCTACATCGGATGTCATGGGGGGTCAATAGTCCGCTTTCCTCCGTGAGTCGTGATTGCTATACAATGCCCATCATTCTTCAGATTTTGGATGGTGTTGTTGCGAAGCGTGCCCAATTGGTGTGTATTCATAATAGCATACAACTGACTAAACTGCTGCTCAAGTTGCTTTATCGACACTGTATGGGCATCAACTTTCTGGCCAATTTCGAACAACTCAGTGCACATCTCTTTCACATTCTGATCAGTAGTGTTAAACTTCTTCAACATCTTTTGCATCATCTTCTCAACGCGCGGCATACTACCCCTAGCTTCCCTATTGCGAGATTCCCTGTTCCCAAGAGGGACGTAGGGGCCAACTCTCTCATTCCCATTACCATAGTTGTTCCAGTTATAGTTGTTGTCGCGATTGTAGTTCCCATCCCGGACATATTGACACTCTCGATTATAGTTGCCATAGTTCCAATCTTGGTTTCCTTGACCTTAGTGCCAATTATCCGTATTGGAACCTTGGGCGTTTTATCGAAAACCCACCATCTGATCATTCACCGCATAAGTATATTCTTTATAGTAACACTCCTCGATGGATCTCTAGTTAAATAATTCACAACATTTACCTTCTCTTTACCTCCGCTCATATGCTTCAACACCAACCCCAGTTTGGTCCTTATTTGAGACATCTCCTCAAGAATTTCATCTATCGACTGGTTGTTTATAGGTTGAACGGCAAATGTGTTCCTCCCAGTATCCTACTTTCTAGTGCGCCAAGCTTTATTGTTCCAAGAGATCTTCTCTAGTTTGTCTGCAATCTGCTCAAAAGTGCACTCACCATATGAACCCCCAGTGATAGTATCAAGCACTACCTTACTATTGTCATCTTGACCTTGGTAGAAATATTCCTTTAGCGATTAATTATCAATATGGTGATTCGGAACACCTCTTATGAAATTAGTGAACCTGTCCCAAGAACTACTCACAGACTCTCCAGGTAGTGCTACAAAATTGTTGACTTTATCTTTGTGGATCAACTTCTTGGACACTGGAAATAATCTTGCTAGGAACTCATCTCTCTATTGGTTCCATGTGTAGATTGAATTATAGGGAAGCTCTTTAAACCACACAATAGCATCGTCGGTCAACGATAGAGTGAATACTTGCATCCAATGACATCCATGTCTAAGTCCAATCGACCCACACAACTTTTGCAAACACTTCTTAGCTTGGCTATGTGAGCATGTGGATCGTCCGATGCCACACCCACAAACAAGCCCCTCGCTGTAAGCATCTACATCAACTTTCTAGTCACCACAAATGTATATCCCGAAGGTAGATGATGAGGTAGGACAAGAGGTCTGTCAGAATCAACAATATTAAAGTTGACCCTATAGTTATCGTGTAGTCTTGTCCCTGATTGATCATATACCCCCACTGCATCTCTCAATAGATTCTCAGCTTGAATGTGATTCTTCTCATCACCAACCCTCGGAAAGTTCTGTTCAATTCTGGATCGTAGGAAGTAAGTGGTTCTCCTTGATTCCGTGTACTTAGCATACACTAGAGTAGGAACCTGAGAGAGACAAAAACAAGAGAAAAAGTAAAATTAGGAAATATTTGACTAAAGTTCAATAATGTAGTTAAACTTAATCTAAAAGCCTTATTGCCGGCAGCGGCGCCAAAATTTGATACACTCAAATTACACCTCCCTAAAGAAGCATAATCGATCGTTATCAAGTAAAGAACCCAACTTTTAGGTTGGGGTCAATCCCACGAGGGATATGTTTTAGACATAAACTTAACTGACGATTATATTCATTTAGTCAATGTATTTCCAAAAACAAGTAATTAAAGGGGGGGATTTGTGAAACAAATTTAGGAAATTATGTAACTATTCAATGAGCAAGATTCAAATTTATTTGTTATCAAGATGAGAAAGTAACTAGGGTGTACGTGTTCCCCATAAGCTCATAACGTGGTAATCCTAGTAATAGCAATCCTTTCCTACTGTATTACATGCAAAGTGATAAGTTAGGTATCTCTAATTCCTTGGTCCGACAACTAGAGAATTTACCCCGCACCTTGGTCCGGCTACGTGTTTATAATTTACTAACCGTTATTTTTAACTCATATTAGACATCACATCGATGTATGGCTTAGTTTTTACCCTCGCACCAATCGACATTAGACTATTAGATATCACACTAAATCTATGTTGATAATTCTTTTCTTATTAACTACCTCCATAGTCCGGCAAGTAGCAACGAGGTGCATTCTAACTCGTGCACTCGTGAAAAAGACTTCTAAATGAAAGAATTATCAATGCATGTAATAACACTATTCAAGAATTGCTTAGTTACTATTCCTACGTTGTTAATCACTTATGGTTCCCACAACCCTAGTTGTGAATTTAGTTACCCGTAGTAGCAAGAACACAATTCATATTTTTAGATGAAGAAATCATGAACTTACGTAATGAGAATGATAAACCCAGGATTTCAACTTGAATTTCCAAACCAAAATCTTCAAAATGAACTTAGGAAATTAAGAATTCCTAAAGTTGTAAATTAATCTCTAGAGTCAAGAACTAGAATAAAAGTAATAAAGTCTAGCCCCCAAAAATGAGGTTTACATTCCCTATATATAGAAAAATAAGTCCTAACTAAAAAGGAAATGTAATAGGGAAATAATGTTTCAGGAAGGGGTTTCGATCGACGATACTTACCTATGGACCGTGGATTGATCTACGGTCCGTAGGTCCTTTCCGTGACTAGGACTTAGGCAAATTTCAAACTTCAAAATCTTCAAATCTCTTAACCAAATGACGGATCACCAGTATTGACCGTGGATTGATCTACGGTCCATGGATCCTCATCCGTAGCTCTATACTTAGATTCTTCAAAATTAGCTACTGGAACCCCTCTCTGAATAATTTGATGGATTAGCAGTACGATTTGTAGATCAATCTACGGTCCTTCGATTGGAACCGTGGTTCTACACTTGGTCAAGAATTCCATGATCTTCCTTCATGACTTTCTAGTCTATCTATGGTCATCATCTACAAAACGTGAATGGACCTATGGTCCGTGTATCACATCTGTAGATGGGATTTTCTGTACATTCATCTGCTATGTCTCTCAACTTTTGCGTCTGAACTTATTGCCTGAAAACATGATGAAAACACATTAATACTAATACAAAATGGCCCTAGAAACACACAACTCTTAAGTGAAATGTAGGAAAGTCCTTCTTGATTGCCTTTCTGCACCCTTAATCCTTAAAATGCACTATAACTTTTGGTGAGCTACCTTTGACTCGTCGAATGGTGCCGGCGATCCTGATGTGGCTTAGAAAAGTGATTCGTTGACTCGCAGAATGGTTCGATGAGTTTTCCTACATCTTATTTTCTGCATTTTTTCTAGATCTTTTTCCAACATTTTTTTATGTTATTTGCAGGAATGACTAAAACCAATATGACTGGTAGTGACATGGCACCTGAAAAGCCAACACAAGGAGTTATTATAAATGATGGAGAAACCACTTCCAAGACTAAGGCTGCAAAGCTACCTTCAAATGGAGTCAAAGGAAAAGGCAAGGAATCCATGGCTAAGATACTGGAGTACAACTCCGACAATGAGGGGGAATCCTATGATTCTCAAGCTTTTTTCTCTAAACCTAAGGATGATTAGTTTTGCAAGCTCGAAGAGCAGAGCCTCACTCCAAGGCGACGCATGATCCGTGTAGGATCCTGGTAGATCAGACTCCTCCTCCTCCTCCTCCAGCTCCAAAGAAGACAGTGGTCCCACCGCCACCAGTATAGGATCCTCACTCAACTAGTTAAAGGCCGAGGGATTGAGGACCATCTTATAGGATAAGAGATTGTCCACAAATGGTGTAGTGGACAAGTATCCAGCAATGTGGAACACCCTCAGGTTCCATAGATTCGAGGTGTTAACCAAGCCCTGTGACCCATACATTCCTACCTGGGTCCGGGAGTTGTACTCCGCTTACAGTGATTTGGTACCTAAAGGGAAGAAGAAGGCTACTGCCTTCAAGCTGGTGGACTTTTTGATGAGCCGATGAAGGATGGTTAAATGCAGTAGTGATGATATAAATGTTCTGTTTGAGCGGGCTACCAACTTCATTCATGAATACCAGAGTATGATCACGACAAAGACTCTGGATGACCTCAAAGGTTGGCTGGCCCCTCTTCTTTCTGACAATACCCCGAGGTGGATTGTGGATAGAGCACCGATAGAGAAGAAGGATCTTAATGAGGTGGCTAAGTATTGGTTTGGATCTATTAGCATCTCGATCATGCCGTCTCAAACTGAGTCTATCCTCCGCCACCCAAAAGGAAGCGTACCTTGGGATGAGGTGCCTCCGACTACCACCGTAGATGAGGTTAAAGCTGATGTTATCGATGTTGTTGCTGTTGAGTCCGAGTATGAGACTAAAGAGGAGAAGCTTAATGTTCATGAGGATATTGTCTTTGATGATTTGGCAGCCCTTGAGGGTGCCATGGTAGATTCATCTATTCAGGCCTCTTTGAGGGAGATTCTATGGTGGGCTCCAGTGGAGCCAATATGTCTGATACCTCGAGCATTGATGCCCATACTGATGGAGTGACAAATGCATGCTTAGCCTGACAGGATGACATTTTCCCTCCCTCTCTGTTATTTTATACATTGTTTTTGTTTTAGTTACATTTGAGGAGAACTGAATATTTTGTTAGGTGGGGTGAGGTATTTCCATACCTACCTCTTGTGACTATTTTTTGAATATTTGTTCTATTTTGATGATGTTTTTGTGAATATTCAGTCTGTTGTGTTATAGATTTCTTGGTTGTGATATTTCAGATGTTCTTAACTTGTGGCCCATTGTTTTGATGTGAAAGAGGTTTTGAACTAATTTTAAAATTATTTTTTGCCACCTCTTGTGTGTGTGATTGTGGTTGTTCTTGTAAAAATTTGAGTGTCGGTTGTGGTCAATACCGATGACTTGAATAGTGATGTTAATTGAACC